GGCGAGCAACATCTTCTGTCGTGTCTCTCGCAACTTGAAACGGCAAGATGCAATTGACCAATGACCCCAAATCAAGTAGGATTTTCCCCCCCCCATACAGAGTAGAAGACTGCAATAAAATTCAAAAGGATTTCGAGAGTTTTATTGAAATGGGCTGAAAGTAACAATTGAACGTTAACACAAGTGCAGAGTTTTATCACTTTGGAAGCAAAAAATCCAGTGAAGAGAGACCGGGGGAGGGGGGGATGCCCCAGTTTTGTAATGGAATGTATGGGGAAAAAAAGATTTTAGGGTACTAGTTGACCATGGGAGTATGAGAAAATGGATGATATGGATGCCAGGAAAGACAGACTTGGGCTAACATTAGCAGAAGTCTAAATTCCAAATGAGAAATAATAACGGGAAGTTATTTAGGAAAGTCCTGGGTGGGGTCAAAAAAGTCAAGATGGCCATTATGGTCCAATCAAAGTGATCTTTATATGCACAACACACACAAATATCTGGAGCTTTGATGGCACTACCATAGCCGCCATCTTGAGTTTTTTAAACCACACTTTACAGGCCTTGCCCCTTTTGTAATGGCTTGATATGATTTTAATGGGCCTCACAAAACCCACCAAACTCTTTATTCATTGAAGGAAATGTATAGCCTAGATGAGCAAAAGCTAAGAAAACGGGAAACGGCCCTCTTCAAATCCTTGAAGAATTATCTGGTAGGCTGACCAGGCCCACTTGGAAGAGGTGCAGACTTCAACTCCCAGAATTCCTCCGCCAGCCTGCATCCATTGCTGCTGCAACATGGCTGGCTGAGGAATTCTGGGAGTTGAAGTCCACAGGTCTCGAAGCTAACAAGGTTGGGAAAAAGCATTGTAGAACAGTAACAGTCAGTTGGAAGGGACCTTGGAGGTCATCTAGTCCAACCCCCTGCTCACGCAAGAGACCTGTACTAGGGATTCGAACTGCTGGATGTTCAAGACCTAGTCTTCATCCTCCATAGGGGGAGTTGCAACAACGGCTTTAAGTCACAAAAACTGGAGATGCCAATGAAAGATTTTTTTAAAAAAATAAATCTTAGCAGCAAGAGCAGTTGGACAGGAAAACCCATATCCCACCGACAAGATGGCTATGGCTGTGTTAGTGGGCTGGGCAGCCATCATCCAAGGTGCTTTAATCTGAATTTTTTACCCATGCAGGATGGAGTGGAGCTTGTTCAGTGGTTGGCCACAGGCCCAATCCTGCTTTCTCCAGACACCACAGGTGCTTTTCAATCTTATTTCTGCAGCCAGCCATGTTTCTTTCCTAGGAAAGCTTGACCTGCCTCCCTGCTGGAGCCCCAACAAACTAGGATGTCCAGCTATGGGAAGGAGAAAAAGAGGCCCAGGTCCCGCTTGCAAGTTTTGCAAAATGGTCTGCTCAGGAACTTAACAAAATCCAGCGATGGAAGGTCTAAGTGCAATGATCTGCAGGGGAGGGGGAGATCCTTAGAGTGGTGTGATTCACCTTCGAAACAATGTTCCTCAACCCTGGTCACTTGAAAGATGGGCGGGGGGCTTCAACTCCCAGGATTCTGGGAATTGAAGTCCCCACCCATCGTCAAGTGGCAGAGGTTGAAAAATCAACACTTCGAAGTGCCATTTATTTGGAGGTGCTGCAAAATAAGCAGGACCATGACTTCAAATCCAACCTGCACAGGTGAGCCCAGAAAGGTGACCCTATGCTCATTTAAAAGATAACGGTAAAGGTACCCCTCGCACATATGTGCTAGTCGTTCCCAATTCTAGGGGGTGGTGCTCATCTCCGTTTCAAAGCCGAAGAGCCAGCGGTGTCCGAAGACGTCTCCGTGGTCATGTGGCCGGCATGAGTCAACGCCAAAGGCGCACGGAACGCTGTTACCTTCCCACCAAAGTTGGTCCCTATTTTTCTACTTGCATTTTTTCTTACGTGCTTTCGAACTGCTAGGTTGGCAGAAGCTGGGACAAGTAACGGGAGCTCACCCTGTTACGCGGCACTAGGGATTCGAACCGCCGAACTGCCGACCTTTCGATCGACAAGCTCAGCGTCTTAGCCGCTGAGCCACCTAAATGAATAGGAGCCGCTCAAAATAATATAGGAGGCAAGATGAATCCATTTTTTTAAAAAAAGCAATTGCGTTCCTAACCGTGACAGGCACTTGCTCCCTAGTCTGGGACTGCCAAACCCAGAATTCCCAGCCCCCTTGAAAAGAGAGCACCGGATGGTAAATTTTCAGCTCTTCCATGTTGTTGGAAACATGCATTTTTCCACCCGTGTTGGTCTGTCCGTAGTATGTGTGTTCCTAAAAATTCGCAACGCCCATACAAAAGCAGGCAGAATTTCAACTCCACCTCTGTGGCCGCCATCTTAAATTTTCTGATCACACCCAAAAGATTCTCCTGTACAGTTCTAAGAAAAGTCCCCCATTCCTATGGTTTAGAAGTACAGGTAATCCTCAATTTACGACCGGCCACTTAGTGACCATTCAATATTATGACTGGCCTGAAAAAAAAAGAAGCTACAACCCTGTTCCAAAGGTTGGACCTCCACCCACAGGAAGTTACTTCCAGTTTTGAGGAAAGCCACACCACAGTGAACAATGGCCTCGCTTAAGAAACACGGTATTCATCTTACGACCGACACCTTTGTTTAAAAACCACTGCAAAACGAGGTCTACAATCTGAATCAGTCAAATGACTAATCCGATTTAAAACTGTCATGACATACCACTATAACGGGCAGGCTCCATTACAGGTAATTCTTTCGAGCCCCAAATGGTCATTGCTAAGCAAGGCAGTTGTTAAGTGAGTTTTGCCCCATTTTATGACGTCTCTTGCCACCGTTGTTAAGTAGACCACTGCAACTGTTAGGAACGCAGTTGTAATGTGTGGCTTTCCCCGTTGATTTGCTTGTCAGAAGGGGGTCGCGTGAGTCCGAGACACTGTGACAGTCATTAAAATACATGTAGTTGCCAAGCGTCCAGATTTTGATCATTTGACCACGGGGTCAACAAGTCTACAACAGTCAGAAGTGTGTAAAACAGTCATAAGTCGCTTTTTTCAGTGCTCTTGTAACTGAATGATCACTAAACGAATGGTTGTAAATCAAGGATTACCTGTATGGTCATATGTCAAGGACCACCTTTAAATGCTTCCATGCCGATGGGTACACCCAAAGGCTCAGCGGAAATAGCAATAGCACTTAGACTTATATACCGCTTCATAGTGCTTTTACAGCCCTTTCTAAGCGGTTTATAGAGTCAGCATATTGCCCCCAACCATCTGGGTCCTCAGGAAGGCAGGCAGGGGTGAAATCTAAAATTTGTTACTACCGGTTCTGTGAGCGTGGCTTGGTGAGGGGGTGGTGGGGAGGTAATGTGACTGGGTGGGCATGGCCATTTTTTTTTTAAACTTTTAAAACCATTTTTTCTACAACCTCTTTGGCGAAGAGGTTGTAAAAAGATGCTTTCAAAAGGCTCTGACGATCCCAGCTGAGTTGCCTGATCCTCAGAGGCTTTTTAAGAAACCCTCTGCCGATCAGGCAACTCAGCTGGGTTGAAAAAGAAAAAAAGCCTCTGATGATCGCGTGGCTCAGCTGGGCATGGGGGGTGGGGTGGCAGGGATTTTTTGCTACCGGTTCTCCAAATCACCTGCCTCCATTGCTACCGGATCGGGCGATCCGGTCCAAAACCGGGAGCATTTCACCCCTGAAGGAAGGGAATATGTGCACTGCCTTGGATTCATCTCCAAAATGGGCTTCAGAGCCCTTCCCAAAGAGAATCAGTTCCTACTTGGGGGTGGAAAAAAGGGACTACATCAGTGCCCCAAAAGTGCCTTTTTTGGACCTAAAACGAAATAGCTGCCTAGAATCAAATGAATGCTCCCAAAGCAGATGACCTCCTGCTCTTTCAGCACGTGGCATCTTCGAAGCGACAGAAACGGACGCAAAGCAGAACCAGAGGCCTGGTCGACGGGCAGAAAGCCCCAGGAAATGGCACCCGCGGGCACCCTCTTCCCTTGGCTAAACTCTCTGTAAGATGGCGGTCAAGGTGCCCCCCCCCCCCATACACACAGGCTCTCCCAGACAAATGCAATTTGTGCTCTGACACCACTTCTTGGCACATGTTTTTTTTTTTTTAATCAAGTCCATTTTCGAAAGAGGTTTGTGGTTTGCGGGTCTCGCGTGCCACCACGGGGCAGTCGAGTTGAGGGGGCGGGGGCGGGCAGAGGCTTTGTGCTTACCTCAGCCGAGCTCCCTGGCAAAGGAGGGTAACAGCCGAGGCAGATTCGAAACAGAAGGAAATTGTACGTCAGCGTGGCACACATGCGTGTGCCAACGCCCACATGCTCCATGCTCAGCCCCTCATTTTCCCTCGGTTGTGGCACTCATCTACAAAATCAATTACACACACGCACACACATACACACCTCAAAAAACAGCTTTGGACCCGCACAATTCGAAACTGGAGAAGTGGAACGCATCGTTCCCTTTTTGTTTTTTACCTGACATGCAATTTTTTTTTAAAAAAACAAAAAACAAAAAACGAGAAAAAAAATACCTTTGCAAAGATCTGAAGCCTAAAGACAAGAAGAAAGGAGTGGCATTCAAAGGTGGGTGGCGGAAAAAAAACAATGGAAAAAGATTGAAAGTGGATTTTCCTTTTTCTTTTTTCTTTTTTTTTTACGGATTGCCACAGGAAAAGGAGGTTTGGAAGGAGGGTAGGGTCCGAAGGAAATAGGAGCGATGAAACCCACCCACCCACCTTTCTTTCCTTCTCCCCCCCTCCCCCGGCACTCGCCCCTCACCCGCCAATCTCCGGCAGGATTAAATTAAAAAGCCATGCCAATAAATAAATAAATAAATAATACAGGAAAGGTTCCTCAGCCCTTGCTTAAAGCAGGAGTCTCCAACCTTGGCAACTTTAAGCCTGTCGAACTTCAACTCCCAGAATTCCCCAGCCAATGGGGAATTCCCCATTGGCTGGGGAATTCTGGGAGTTGAAGTCCGCCAGGCTTAAAGTCGCCAAGGTTGGAGACCCCTGACTTAAAGGATGCCACGAGAGGAATACCTGCCCTGGGAAAAACACACGCACACAGAAATAAATAATAACAATACTCAAAAGCAACACCTGTTTTGCATATATAGATGGAGAAGGGGAACTTGTAGAATAAGGAATAACCAAGAAGGGGGGGGGTGTAGAAAGAAACCAGGGTATACCTGCTAAGTAATAATCCCATTACCACCAAAAAGCAACGATAATATTCACCTTCAGCCTAAGAAAGGGGTTAACCGGTTGCTAACACAGAGCCTTCTGCCTGTTTTTTCAACCCGTTCAGAAGACCAGAAATTGGGTTTCGATCTCACTGTTTTCTCCAGCGTCCCAAAATGCGACCCGGTCCTCTCTTTTTTTTTTTTTGTATCAAAGCAGCAAGAAAACCCCAAAAAGCAAGCGACAGCCCTGCGAGGTGGACCAAAACAGGACAGGTTGAATGATGCAGAGTGAACCATGGAAGGAAGGGTATGAAGAAAAAAAAAAAAATGGAACCACGGGGGAGAAACACCCCCACCCCACCCGAAGGAACAGCTGGAAAAGTGTGAAAAATGAGCCTTCAAAAATGGTAGAAAGGCGGGTGGGAGGGAACGGAGAGAGAGAAAAAAGAGAGAGAAACGGAGAATTGTGCTATTCACCCTTCAAGCAGCGTTCTTTGTTTCAGGGGTTCCCTACCAGCCTCCACCCCCACCCCCAACATCCCACCCGCCGCCCCACCCCATCCAGGAAGTGGCAGATTCACTCCACGCGAGAAAATGTAAACTTTTCCACACATCACACCAATGCAAAAAGGTGGAGAAACATCCATCTGTCCGTCCGTGGGCTGAGATAGGGGATTCCTGCCCCACCTGGAAGGCGAAGCCGGCCCCTCCCTCGAGCAAAGATGGCTTTGCCGGCGGTGGGGGGGGGGGGGAGGAGGACAGGTTATTGCTTGTAAAAAACCAGAGAGAGAGAAAGAGAGAGAGAGAGAGGTGTGCACGGGGGAAAAAAGGTGGAAGGAGCTGAAATTATCTGCTACAACCAGCTCGTAGAGTGTGAGGTATGTCAGGCCTCCGGTAGATTTGGGGGCTGTTTTCTCTTATTATTATTATTATTATTATTTATTATTATTATTATTATTATTCTCGAGAACGAGCCCCTGAAAACTTAAAAACTTCCTGGCTGTGCAAGAGATAACGCCGACTATGGCAAACCTGCTTCGAAATGGGGGAGAGATTCGGTTGAGCTCTCCCTTGTCCCCACCCCTGGATCTAACCAGAAGGAAGAGAAGGCCCTTCGGCTCTCCAGCGGACACCCTGCTCTCTTTGGACCCCCCCCCCCCAAAAAGGGAAGGTCTCCCTTCTTGGGATGTGCTCCCCCCCACCCACCTTCCGGGGCCCTGCTGGAAAGGCATGGATGGATCCAGCCAGAGCTTCCCCAGGTCCTCGGTGGGCTCCATCTTGTGGCCGGAGACACAGGGATCTCCGCTGGCCAAGTCTTCAGCCCTGGACCTTCTCAACCCCCCAAGGGGACCTCCAGGTGGGGCTTCCTGATACACAGCGGAAGGCTGACAGAGCAGGAGGGCGTTCCTTGATCTTGCTCCGCGCCCTCGAGCCCCTGGAGCACCCTGCATCCCGGCTGGCTGGCAGGCCCTGCGTGGCACCCCCCAGCCCCGGGGCGAGACAGAGAAAGGGTCATCCCAGTGCTTCCCTTTGCCACTATTCGGGGCTATGCTCAGGGGAAGCCCGGGCGGCCACCATCACCACACACTCTAGACTCTCTCGTGGTTTTTTCAAGGGTGTGAAAAACATGTCCTCCAGCCCCCCTGCGATCTTGTCCAGGAGTTCTGTGCCCAGCCCCGGACACTGACCACTTTCGAGACAGTCCCTGGTGTACGGGTCAGGTCCCGTTTTGGCTTCCTCCGGGGGTTCTTCCTCAATCACCTGGATCTTCTCCCCCGTTTCTGCGGCGGGTGAGGCCACCTCCTCGTCCCCGGAGCTGACAATACGTGGCAGGGTGCTGTGGTAGCGGCCTTCCAGGGGGTAGTTGACGCTGTCGCCCCGACGCAGGGGTGTCCGGTGCCTCTCCAAAGCTGTGGGATAGCGGACGCCTGGGTCGCTGTACTGCTTGGTACGCTGCCATTGCTTCCTCAAATGGGTCCGCGAGCGGTGTTTGGCCCGCAGGGGGGATTCATCGAATTGGGGGTCGTGGCGGACAAAGGCGTTGAAGAGCGCGTCTGTTTTTTCATCGATGCTGTAGTCCCGGCGAGGGAAGGATTCTCGTGCGGGGAACATCTGCCCATACGGTGCCCAGAGCAATGGACTAGAAGGGAGGAGACCTCCAACGGCGCCAGCTGCTTCCTCCTCTTCCTCCTCCTCTTCCTCCTCTGCTTCTGGCTCCTGTCCCTCAAAGCTCTCAAAGATGGTGGCCTTGCGTCCAGCGCTGGTGAAGCAGAAACGTTTCTCCGAGGCCGTCTGGTCTTCTCCTACTCGGCCACTGGGGGCTTCAATGGAGGCATAGCCGCTATCCATCTGCAAGAGTTTACGGGTCCCGGCTTCCATCTCAACGCTGTCTTGCTTGGGTTTCGACAAGGACCTGTCCTCTCCGGCTTCAGCCTCATCGGCCAAGGAGGAGGAGAAACTGGGTAGCCCACCGCTGGAGGAAACGCTGTCCCCACCATCACTAGGTGCCGAGTCCTGGTCGTTGCCCTTCTCTGATGAAACACATTTTTCTAGCGATGCCCGTAAGCTCCAGATGTCATGATAAAGGGGGGTGGGTTGCTGTTCCAATGGCTCGGGTGGGGTGGGGCTGGGTGGTTCGGAAGACTCTAACCTACAGCAGAAAAAAAATACACTTTGCCTTTAACAATGATACAGTATTTCTTTCTTTGCACACCAGTGTGCAATAATAATGACCAGTGTGTCATACCTGCGCCAATTTGGACCAAGAAAAACCCTTGACTCCATGTTGAAAGGTACACTTTACTTAAAGCCAAGTGGAATACAATATAGCAAAGCCAGAACTGATGTTCGCGCGCCAGAGTTTCCCGGTTAACTTTCTCCCATCCAGTTCCTCCCCTCCATTCGTCCCTTTTTTGTCCAATTGTATTTGAATAACTTGTTTTGGGAAACAGTCTCTTCAATGGTGGACTGGTTGGTGAGCCATTGGATTCTATTTCCAGGGCTTTGATCTTGAGAGGGTGTCTCTGGAAGGTAAAATGTTTGTCTTTCCACCCACCCCATCCGGCTCCCTCTCCCCCATAGTTCATGGCAGACTGACAGATAGAAAATGAGAAGCTCAAGCGTATGATGGCAGTTCTGACATAGTGTTTCTCAACCTCAGCAACTTTGTGGACTTCAACTCCTAGAATTCTCCAGCCAGCAATAGGGATGCTGGCTGGGGAATTCTGGAGGTTGAAGTCCACGCATCTTAAAGTTGTTGGGGTTGAGATACATTGAAGGAGAGAGTGCAAAATAATTCTTGGCGCATCCTTTAAGTCAGTGACCACACATTGCTGAGACTTCTAAGAATTCCTTGAAAATTATGCTGAGCCCAGAACATTTTTCCATGAAACAATCCATGAAACGACCAACCAAATCTAGTGGATTTCTGCTCCTAGGAATCTATGCCTAGTTCCGTTCTCAGATGTTTGCACATCTTTTTCAAGGCGGGACCTCCAGGACCAGCGACATTCACCGAGGCCAAAAAAGGCAAGATGATGGTTGACTTGGCTTGCCGGAAGCCGGCTGGGAAGGTGACAAATGGCGATCACATGATGCTGCAACCATTGTACATTTATGCCGGTTGTCAAATGCCTGAATTTTGATCTCATGACTGTGGGGATGGGACGTTGGTGTATATGCAAGGACAGGTTTCAGTAACTTTGAACGGTCACTGAAAGAATGGTCGTAAGTTGAGGACTAGTTGGACCTCCTTAAAGTGAGGCGGTTGATGTAGCTGCAAAGATGCAATGGAAGAGACCAAGCTGGTGAGCTGCTCAAAGTGGCGCAGTGGTTAGAGTGCAGTACTGCAGGCTAACTTCTGCTGACTGCCGGCTGCCTGCAATTTGGCAGTTCGAATCTCACCAGGCTCAAGGTTGGCTCAGCCTTCCATCCTTCCGAGGTGGGTAAAATGAGGACCCAGGTTGTTGGGGGCAATGGGCTGACTCTGCTTAGACGGGGATGTAAAGCACTGTGAAGCCGTATATAAGTCTAACTGCTATTGCTATCATCTACCTATCTACCTATCTATCTCTATCTTTGGTCTATCTACAATCTCTTTTTCTCTCTTTCTCCCTCTCAAGAGCCCTGGTAGTGCAATGATTAGAATGCACTATTGCAAGCTAACTCTGCTCACTGCCAGGAGTTCGATCCTGACCGGCTCAAGGTTGGCTCAGCCTTCCATCCTTCCGAGGTGGGTAAAATGAGGACCCAGGTTGTTGGGGGGCCATAGGTTGACTCTGTAAACTGCTTAGAGAGGACTGTAAAAGCACTGTGAAGTGGTGTATAAGTCTAAGTCATGGGTGTCAAACTTGATTTCATTGAGGGCTGCACCAGGGTTGTGTTTGGCCCTGGCCGGGGGGGGGAGGATAGGTGTGGCCAGCTTGATGTCACTCGTGTTGGGGGCACCAGTGGTGGGTTCCTCCCGGTTTGGCCGAGCTGGTAGTGGTGACGATATGACGTCACCGAACCGGTTCTGTTTGTTCAGGAGCTGGGCCTTCCCACCCCTCCCCCGCGTTTTTTTTTTTTTAATTTGATTTATATGCCGCCCTTCTCCGGAGACTCAGGGCGGCTTACAATGCGTTAAGCAATAGCCTTATAGCGTTATTCTTACTTTTTATTTGGTCCCACCAAATTTGGTCTATTCGCTGCTTCCCGAATCCCAGCTGATCGGCTAGAAGGAAAAAAACTGTTTAAACTCTTGCCGTGGGGCTTCAAAGGGCCGCCCTACAGCTGTTAAAAGGCAGTGTGGTGGTAGACCAGTGCGCTCGAAAAACAAATGGGTAGACCGGTGCCTCCAAAAACAAATGGGTAGACCGGTACAGCTCTGCAAGCAGTTAAAAGCCTGGTAGACCAGTACCTCTGCTAAATCCTAAAGAATTGTCACATGACCATCAAGCCATGCCCACAAAATAAGCCACGCCCACAGAACCGGTAGTAAAAAAATTTAGAACCCACCCCTGGGGGCACCTGCGGGGCCCCGAATCCTCTGCCAGTTGAAACAAGCTCCCGAGCTCCGTTTTCGGCTGCGACGGTTTCCTGCAACCTTTTTGCCAGCAAAAACGAAGCTGGCAAACGGGAGTGGGGAGGCCACCCGCGGCCTTTGCAAGCTCCGTTTTCAGCTGCGACAGCTTCCCGTAACCCTCTGCTACCAAAAATGGGAGCTCGGGAGATCCGCCCACAGCCCGCGCAGACTCCGTTTTCGCTGGCAGAGGCACTGCGGACCGGTCCTTTGCTGTTTCTAGGGCGGCCTGTGGGCCAGATCTAAGCACCCGTCGGGCCAGATCCGGCCCCCGGAGCCTTGAGTTTGACACTTAAGTGCTGTTGCTATTGCTTCAGTGCAACATTGGACGATGAGAAAACTGGACAATAAGCGGATGGCCTGATCCAGTCTGTTTTCCCTTTCTTTGTTCATCTGGAAGTCCAGCTGTCATCCGGTGACAAACCGATTCGGCCTCCCTTTTAAGCGAAGAAGCGGGGGTGGGAAGCAAATAATTGCCTCCAAATCTATTTTTAAATGTGGTGATGGTGGTTGTTTTTTAAGAGTACATTAGCAAGGAAGAGGTAAAGCATCTGGTCACTATACGTTCATCCATTATTCAGGTTTTTATCCAAGAAACAAAACAATCTTAGCTTTCCAATCATAGCTCCCCGGGTCTAGCAGCTCAGCTGAGGGGAAAGAAACTCTGCGGTACGTAGCTGATTCGATCCAAGCATTTTCGGTTATTAAAAGAAAAAAAAAATTAAAAATTAGGCAATGGTGACGGGAAATAAAAGTCATTTGGCGAAGGTTTGAGAGAACTTGCTGCTGAAGAGAGAGACTGGTTTAAAATAGCTTCCCATTTAAGTCCATCTATTATTTAGGACAATGAAGGGGCTGAAATATTGTTTGATCTTTAAAAGATGGACCTCAGCAAACTCAACGTGCAGAGCGAAGGAAAAATTCCTGCCATCAGCACTTAAAAACTCACCGGCCGGAGCTGGTAGGCAGCCATTTTGTGAGGGCCCTCAAAACATGTTAAGACACCCCAACAGTCCAAGGCAGATAACCAAGGACTCGTACCCGTCCTTCAGCTTTTATTGATTCATTGGAAAATTCCCAATGTTGAATTCCACAAGAGTATTATCCCCTTCACCAAAAGGAGGTACAGACTGTCCTCAACTTATGGATACTCATGTAGCGAGCGACCGTTCCAAGTTACGATGGCACTGAAAAAAGTGACTTACAACCAGTCCTTGCTTTTACGACCATCGTAGCATTCCCCACAGCCATATGATCAGGTGCTTGGCAACTTTCTTCCTTCCTTCCTTCCTTCCTTCCTTCCTTCCTTCCTTCCTTCCTTCCTTCCTTCCTTTCTTTCTTTCTTTCTTTCTTTCTTCTTTCTTTCTTTCTTTTCTTCCTTCCTTCCTTCCTTCCTTCCTTCGTTCCTTCCTTCCTCCTTCCTTCCTTCCTTCCTTCCTTCCTTCCTTCCTTCCTTCTTCCTTCCTTCCTTCCTTCCTTCCTTTCTGTAGCTTACCACATGGTAAACATATTTAAAATGGGGTCATGTGATGACCATTTGCATCCTTCCCAGCCAGTTTCCGACGAGCAAACTCAGTAAAGCCAGATTCGCTTAGTGACCAGGTGATTCATTTAACAACTGCAGTGATTCACTTAACCGTGCCAAAATGGCTGTAAAACTCACTTAACAACAACAACAGTCGCTCTATCTATTTTACTTATTACAGGTAGTCCTTGACTTGCAACCGTTCATTTTAGTGACCGTTCAAAGTTACACTACTGAAAAAAGTGACTTATGACCGTTTTTTCACACTTACAACCGTTTTAGCATTTCCCCATGATCATGATGATTTACATGTGAATGCTTGACAAGTAAAGTCACATTTATGACAGTTGCAGTGTCCCAGGGGGTCATGGGCTCCCCTTCTGTGACCTTCTGACAAGCAAAGTCAATGGGAAAGCCAGATTCACTTAACAACGTGGTTACTAACTAATCAACTGCAGTGATTCGCTTAACAAACGTGGCAAGAAAAGTCGTAAAATGGGACAAAACTCACTTAACAAATTTCTCACTTAACAACATAAATTTTGGGCTCAATTGTGGTCGTAAGTCGAGGGCTACCTTTATTTTATACACATCACTTAGCAACAGAAATTCTGGTCCCAAGTCAAGGACTTCCTACAACTTCCGTTCTCATTTTGTTTTTCCATTCCAAAGCTGCCAAAGGCTTCTCCATCGCGGCTCTTATTCTCTGGGCCCTCCATACACTCCACTCCACGCCAGCCCCCTTCCCACTTATCTACTGAAAAATACCTGCCGAGAGATAATGTTGGACTGGCCGGAGCAGGCAAGAACGGTCCAGCCACGGGCCGGAAAACCACATCGTCCGTCCGGGCAATATACTGGATAATGTCCGTCTGATGAGGATCGCGATCTTGGTCCATGCTTTCACTGGCGGCTCGTTGTCGCTGGAACTGGTGACGCTTGGGGGACCCTGAACGGAGGGAAGGAAGAGACGGGCGCTGAAGTGTAAGCAGGAGTCATGTTTTTCTGAAACTTGTTTTGGTATTTTTGGAAAAAAGAGGTGGGGAAAAAAAACTGTCCCCTCCTTACGAGAACCCCTGGAGTTGGAGTTTTTATTGATAAAGGAGAATATTTGTAGCTCGGGGTTGAAATGAGGGGTGCTTGGCGTTCTCTGACCATGGTGATATTTATGTAGATGTTTCATGACCCAACTGGGTAACATTATCAGTGCTAGTAAGAGCAAACTCTACTCCATTTTAGTGCTGATGACGTTACCTAGTTGGGTCAGGAAACATCTGCAAGAAAATAACCAAGCTCAGAGAGCACCAAGGACCCCACAATCCTCCTCTTCCTTCTCCTCCACTCTTCAAACCCCTCTCCCTTCTAGCACTGATGATGTTACCTAGTTCGGTCAGGAAACGTCTGCCAGAAAACAACCAAGCTCAGAGAGCACCAAGGTCCCCACAGAGTTTTTATTCCTTCCGTTCAAGCACTGAAATATCTGACTCCGTTTGTCCCTGCAGTACGGGTACCAGGTGCAAGGTGCTCCTGTTCCATGTTTCAATTCAGGGACCAGCAATCTTTTGGACAGCATTATAGATAGTCCTCGACTTACAGCCGTTCGTTTAGTGACTGTTGAAAGTTACAACGGTAATGAAAAAAGTGACTTTTGACCATTTTTCATACTTACGACCAAAGATGGGATTCATATAATTTACCTACCAGTTCGCCGAGCACTGAAAATGTGAGCATGTACATGTGCCTGGCCTGTCACACATGCACTTTGCTTGCACGCGCCTTCCGCGCATGCGCCCAGCCTCAAAAATGTGCCTAAATAGGACAGCATAGAGCCTGGGCGGGCGATTTCCACTACCAGTTCGCTCAAACTGGTCCGAACCGGCTGAATAAGACCTCTGCTTACGACCGTTGCAGCAACCCATGGTCACATGATCAAAATTTGGACTACAAGGCAACTGGCATGTATTTATGACGGTTGCAGAGTCCCGGGGTCATGTGATCCCCTGTTGTGACCTTCTGACAAGCAAAATCAAGGGGGAAGTCAGATCCACTTAACAGCCACATTTCTAACTTCACAACTGCAGGGATTCTCTTGACAACAGTGGCAGGAAAAGTCGTAAAATGTGGCAAACCTCACTTAACAACAAATTTCGGGTTCAACGGTAGTTGTAACTTGGGGTAAAGGTAAAAGTTCTCCTTGCGTATATGTGCTAGTTGTTCCCGACTCTAGGGGGCAGTGCTCATCTCCGTTTCAAAGCCAAAGAGCCAGCACTGTCCAAAGACGTCTCTGTGGTCATGTGGCCGGCATGACTAACCACCAAAGGCGCACGGAATGCTGTTACCTTCCCACCAAAGGTGGTCCCTATTTTTCTCCTTGCATTTTTTACGTGCTTTCGAACTGCTAGGTTGGCAGAAGCTGGGACAAGTAATGGGAGCTCACCCCGTTACGCGGCACTAGGGATTCGAACCACTGAACTGCCGACCTTTGGATCGACAAGCTCAGCGTCTTAGCCACTGAGCCACCGCGCCCCTGTTTGAGATACCCTGCATTCAATATTAGGACTCTGACTTGCAGACTTAGGGAGAGACACCCACCTCTCGTGTCCAGGCTGGATGCCCGCTGGTTGGTTTCCAGTTTCCACTTCTTGATTCTGAAATAGGGACTCGCTCCTTCCAGGCTAGCGTGACGGCGCAGGCGGGTCAGGAAATGAAGGACGGTGCCCTGGGGAGGTGCTGAGGTGGGCTCCTGTGGAGGAGCCATGGCGGTTCCTTTGGCGGCCTTGACTGCACTGCCAGACTGTGCGGATGGAGAAGAGGAAAGGGTTAGTCATGCCCAGCGCCGTATCCCATGGCAATGCAGGCAATCCTCAACTTACGATCACGATCGGGACCAACATTTCCGTTACTAACTAAGGCGGTCATTAAAGAGAGTTGCACACAATTTTACTACCTTTTTGTCAGTGTAACTTTGAGGAAATTCAAGCTTCGGAGTTTTCTTTCGTTGGGGGGGGGAGTGTGTTACTTGGAACCCTGACACTTTTCTCGCCACGGTTGTTAAGGAAATCACCGCCGTCGTTAAGCGAATGCGGCTTCACCCACCGACTTTGTTTGTCGGAAGCCATCTGGGAAGGTTACCAATGGCGATCACATGACCCCGGGTTTACCATCGTAAAAACAGGCCAGTTGACCGGTGCATTTGACAACCTTTCTTGTCACGGTTGTTAAGTGAGTCACGACAGTCGTTAAGCGAGTAACACGGTTGTTAAGTGAATCTGGCTTCCCCATTGACTTTGCTGGTCAGGAGGTTGCCAAAAGTGACCTCCGGGACACTGCAACCGTCCTAAATACATGCCAGTTGCTAAGCAAAGTCTGAATTTTGATCATGTGACCGCGGAGATGCTAAAACGGTCATAAGTGTGCAAAACGTCACTTTTTTTCCAGTGCCGTTGTAACTTCGTAAGTCACTAAATGAATCATTGTAAGTCAAGGACCCGACTTACGCCCACAAATGGAGCCCAAAATTTTACGTTGCTAAGTGAGAAATTAGTTAAGTGGGTTTTTCCCCATGTTATGACCTTTCTTGCCACAGCTGTTAAGGGAATCCCTGCGGTCGTTAAATTAGTAACGTGGTTATTAAATGAATCTGGTTTCCCCATTGACTGTGCTTGTCAGAAGGTCGCAAACGGGGATCATGTGACCCCGGGGCAAGGCAATCGTCATAAATACGAACCAATTGCCAAGCCCCTGAATTCTGATCACATCACCACGGGGATCTCGTAACTGTGAAAAATGGTCATAAGTCACTTTTTCCAGTGCCGTTGTTAACTGTGAGTGGTCATTAAATGAACTGATGTAAGTCGAGGACTACCTGGATATGCAATTCATATGGCCAGCCTTTTGCACTGTATTAGGTTCACCTACCGCAACTCCCTCGCCCGAGTCAGAGGAAACGGAGGAAGCAGCTTCAACGCTGGAGTTAAAAGTGTCCCCTGGTAGCGTTGAACTCGAACACAGACCCCCATGGCTGGTCAGCGCCGTCTTTGGCAGGGGGCTTCCACTCGGCTGTTGAGAAGGACAAAGAGGAGGATGAGGAGGAGGAGGAAGATGGCCAAGCATAACCCAGTAACTATCAATCCAGCTTTTCAGCCATTTGCTGGGCAAAGTGTCTGCTAGCCTAACTCTCCATTGGAAACACGATAAAACTTATCTTAAGTATTTTCTTACGTAAAGCTCCTATTGGATGCAATTATATAGACAGGAAGTCCTCGACTTACAGCAGTTCATTTAGTAACCGTTGGAAGTTACGACGGCACTGAAAAATGTGACTTTCACATTTACAATCATTGCAGATCAAAATTCGGAGGCTTGGCAAACTGACTCGTTATTTATATCGGTTGCAGTGGGTTGGGGGTCCTGCGATCCCCTTCTGAGACCTTCCGAGAAGCAAAGTCAATGGGGAAGCCAGATTCACTTAACAACCATGTTGCTAACTTAACTTTTGCAGTGATTCACTTAACAACTGTGGCAAGAAAGGTCATAAAATGGGGCAAAATGTCTCTCTTAGCAACAAAGGTTTTGGGCTCCGTTGAGGACTACATATACATATGTATGTATGTATGTATGCATGCATGTATATATATATATGTATATGGGTATATATATGTATATGGATGTCTATGTATGTGTGTATATATGTGTGTGTGTGTATGTGTATATATATGACAGGCTTCATTTCAGTTATGCAGAAGTTTCAGTTTCCTACTGAATTACAACATGCACATCTTCTATTTATAACAATTTATTACAGAGTGACTTTGGGTAGTGAGGTGGGCAGGATATAAATTTAATAAATAATAATAATTTATAAAGCTTCCTAAAGAACGTATTGTAGCCTACTTCCCCTGATATGTATTTGTGTGTATGTATAATTCTCATTCTCTCTCTCTCCCTCTCTCTCTCCCTCTCCCTCCCTCCCTCCCTCTCTCTCTCTCTCTCTCATTATCTGCATCATCTCTCTATCTGCTGAACCTACCATTATCTCTTTGTCTCTCTACCTATCTAGCATCTATCTGCCTAGCTACGTGCATGCCTACCAATCGGTCTAATTTATTAATGTAGCATACAGCTCTCTTGGCTACTTGTGTGAACATCTCACGTTGTGTGAATACTGCAATTGCTATGTATTAATCTGCGTTAAGTAATTTTAAGGTGTTCTTTGCAACCAGACAGTATTTTTAAAAGTAACCCATTACTCCTTTCTGTAAGATGCCTTGGAAAGCTTTTGCACTTTAAAGGCTGTCTGCAAAATGTTTTACATAAATTAAATAGAGCCTTGGTGGTGCAGCAGACTAAAGCACTGTTAAGTAACACCAGCTGCCTGCAATTTCTGCAAGTTCAAATCTCACCAGGCTCAAGGTTGACTCAGCCTTCCATCCTTTCGAGGTAGGTAAAATGAGGACCCGGTTTGTGGGGGCAATAAGCTGACTTTGTATAAAAAAAGAACACCGCTTGGGGGGGCCCCGAAAGCCCTACTAAGCAGGTATATACAAAAAGTATGAAGGCTATTGCTTAACGCATTGTAAGCCGCCCTGAGTCTCCGGAAAAGGGCGGCATATAAATCGAACCAATAAATAAATAAATAAATTTAAACAAAAAGATTAGAATAGAAATCATGAAATAACTAACTAACCCACCTGCGATTTCCGCTACTGGTTTGGGCGAACCTGTCTGAACCGGCTGAATACCACCTACTGATCCCTCCCAGCCCGATTCGGTTCCACCCCCATACCCTGGAGGGATGAGGAGGGGCTCACGTGAAAGATGGCAAGGCTCGGCTTGGCAGGTGGGAGGCGGGGAGTCATCATGACGCTGTTCTCGTTGGCTTCGCACTCGTGGATGGTGATGATTTTAAGGGCAGCCGAGGGTGGCAGGGGCAGATGGCTGAGACGGGCGTTCTTCAAATGATGGAAATCACCTTCGGTCAGAGTGTACCTAACAGGAAAAGCAGAAAAAAACCCACAATGAAGCAGAAAGTCCGAAGACATCTTAACACATCCCATATTTTGCTTCTGGAGAAAAAAAAAAAAAGAGTACAGGTAGTCCTTAACTTATGACCACGATTGAGCCCTAAACTTCCATTGCTAAGAAACACAGATGTGAAGTGAGTTTTGCTCCATTTGATGACCTTTATTGCCAGAGTTGTTAAACGAATCAAGTAGTCATTAAGCGAATCTGGCTTTCTCCGTTGGAAGCTATCTGGGTGTGAACTCGCAAAGCATCCGTGGCCTGCTCTCGAGTTGCCACAGGCCAGGGGGGATGGGGAAACGGCACAGCAGCCAAAGACAGATGCATATTCCATGCTTATCTCTCTCAAGGCTGTATCTCAGGGTTACCTACAGCAGCCGGAGGGGAGTGACCTCTACAACTCACTCCATTGGCGAATGTGATTGATGACACACCGTGGGGGGAGGGGGGAAACAGGGTCATAATTGGAGCGTAAATTATGTAGGGTCAGAGCTGGCTTCACTTGGGAATGTGCAGACATGAAGTTCCTAATAAATAACTGGATTTCTTTTGAAGCCTGGCTGTCACATGACCTCAGGACAGGGCAACTGTCATAAACACACGCCAGTTGCCAAGAGACTGCATTTTTATCATGTGATCATCTGGGGATATTGCAATGGTCGTAAGTGTGAAAAATGGTTATAAATCACATTTTCAATGTGTTGCAACTACAGTCCTAGTCTTTCTTTTGACACAAAAGCTCATTGGCTGATTTTGTGCCAATCCCTCCCTCTCATTCCAAGAGCCAATCAGATATAGTTGGGAAGGTGCTGGACCAGGAGCGGGGAGAGGCTAGTTCTAGTCCCTCCTTAGACAGAAGTTCATTGGCTGACTTTGGCCAATCTCTCCCTCTCAGTTCAAAAGCCAATCAGATATAGATCACGGAGATCGGTTTCTAGTCCCCCCATCAGCCATAGAACCCACCCCGGTATAGGGTCTCCTGCTTCAGCAGGGGGTTGGACTAGAAGACCTCCAAGGCAGGGGTGAAATCTAAAATTTCTTGCTACTGGTTCTGTGGGCGTGGCTTAATTAGTGGGTGGGGCTTAGTGGTAAGGTGACTGGGAGGGCGTGGCTTGTTGGTCAGGTGGGCGTGGCCAAGTCAATGTCACTTCTTTGCCCTTTTTTAACCTACAAAACACAACACAACTGGCTCACCCATAATATAAAAGCAGCTGTGCTAGACCCAAAATGGCCCCTGCAACAAGCAGGAACCTCACACAGCCACAAAAAGCCCAAAAAACCAACTTTCACACTTCACACACACAAAATTCCACATACAGCTTTGTGAAATTTTGTGTGTTTGTGTAGTTAGAGTGAAACACTACAGAAACACACTAAATCTCAGAAAGCTGCAGAAATATTATTTTATTTTAATTTATTTTTATTTTTATATAAAAGCAACTAAATTTAAAACTTCCTAAACTTTAAATGGCTAGGTCTAAAAAAAACAACTAAAAAAAACCCCAATTAACTATTTTTTTAAAGCTCCCAAAGGGGAAAAAAACTTACCCAATAGAACAGGGGTCTCCAGCCTTGGCAACTTTAAGACTTGTAGACTTCAACTCCCAGAATTCCTCAGCCAGCTTTGCTTCGCTGGCTGAGGAATTCTGGGAGTTGAAGTCCACAACTCCCTGCCTGCTTGATTGCAGGCAGGGAGATTCAGTTGCTTGCTGATGCAATGGATTGCAGGGATTACAGCAAGGCTTTGCGACCAGCAGCTAAGGTAAGCAAGGGGGGGGGAAGCGGGAGGGATTTTTGCTACCGATTAGCAGGTAACTCAGCTGGGGTCGTCAGAGCTTTGATCGTTAGAGCCCTTTAAAAGGAAAAAAGTTTTTTTTCTTTTACATGGTTCTGGCGATCCAAGCTGAGTTGCTTAGCAGGCAACTTAGCTGGGATCGTCAGAGCTTGGCTCGTCAGAGACATTTAAAAGAGAAAAAAGGCTCTGATGATCGCGCGGCTCAGCTGGGCATGGGGGGTGGGGGCAGGGATTTTTGCTACCGGTTCTCCGAACTGCCCGCCGCCATCGCTGCCTACTCACCCGAGCCGGTCCGAACCGGGAACATTTCACCCCTGCTCCAAGGTCCCTTCCAATTCTGTTATTCTGTTATTCAGATGCAACACCACAGCTCCCCCTCCCTTTCCCCCAGATGTGGAACCTCCAACTCCCAGCGCAGCCTCCTGGTTCCTGATCAAGCCTGGAGACTCACCTCCTTCCCTTCTCCTGCGTTTTCTTGCTCTGCTCAAACAGGGCAGCTTCGTTGAAAGACACCCGCCGCCCCATGGCACTGCCAGAAGACAGAAACCGCTCACTCTCGGCATCTCGATAGCTGGAGCTGGACATGCATTCTGGGTCATCCACTTTAATGGTGATGTCTAAGAGGAAGGGGAGGGGAAGAGTGGAGGTGTGAATATGTGGCGGCAGCAGCCTGCTTCTGTCCCTACAGAGAAACATGGGTAGTCCTCAACTTACAACCACAATGGAGCCCAAAATTTCCATTGCTCAGTGAGACACTTACTGAATTTTGCCCCATTTTACGACCATTCTTGCCACAGTTGTTGAGGGAATCATTGCAATTGTTAAGTTAGTAACCCGGTTGTTAAGCGAATCTGGGTTCCCCATTGACTTTGCTCGTCAGAAGGTCGCAAAAGGGAATCACATGACCCCGGGACACTGCAACCGTCATAAATATGAATCATTTGTCAAGCTTCCGAATTCTGATCACATAACAACCCTGAGAATGCCAGAACAAGTTGTAAGTGTGAAACGCAGTCATAGGTCACTTTTTTTTCAGTGCCACTTTGAACTGTCACGAAATGAAGGGTTGTAAATTGAGGACTACCTGTAAATTCTCAAGTTACACCAGGTTGCTTAGCAACCATTTGAAGTTAAAACTGACCAATCCGGGACTACTTATAAGAAGGATTCAAAGTTTCAGCGATTAGGGGCCCTTCTTCTAGTCACATGACCAAATTTTGGTCGCTTGGCAACCAGGCTGCATTTCCCGGGGTCATGTGACCACCTTTTACAATAGTTTTGCTGATAATCCGCCTTCACTTCCGGTTTTTAACGAAACCATCTCCATAGCGAACCATTTTACAACTGCGTTATTGGCTTTATGACTGCTGCAAAAAAAAAAAAAAGGCCATAAAATCAGGCCCGTCACATGAACGACTGATTTTACGACTCTCACAACTTATGACTGTGAAGGGGCTGGCTCCATTACGGTTGTAATTCGAGGACTACCTGTACGTGCCCAGAAAAGAGTTAGAATTCCCAGTTGCCTCAGTTTAAAAATAGGGAACACATCTGATACAATCGGAGTCAGTGGTGGAATTCAGTTGGTTCGGGCCGGTTCGGGAGAACCGGTAGTTAAATTGCCCCGCCCCTTCCAGGAGTCCACACGTGCCCCATTTTGGCTCCCAGATAAGTGCAGGGAGGCTTACTAGACCCAAAACAGGGCGCAGGGGGAAGCAATGCGTCCCCCCCACAGCCCGTTTTTTTCTCCCGGGGGGGTGCAGGAGGCCGAATGCTGCCTGTCACACACCCTGGCCACACCCACCCTGGCCACGCCCACCCAGCCAGTCATTAGGGTAGAGAACCAGTTGTTAAATTACTTGAATCCCACCACTGATCGGAGTTGATGTTCTGGTTTGCTCGCACTCTGGGACATAGAGAACATTTGATTCAAACTTCATCATTCCCCTTTGTGGGAGGTGTTGAAATAAAAAGGGCTTCCACCAACAGTGATTTAAAACAGATTCCTGATAGGAGCAGAGAGGGTTGGTCTTAATGTCCTCACCTTGTGCCGGCTGTGAGTCATCCAGATAGGTGGTGTTGGTTTTTTCTGGGTCATCGCTGGCTCTGAAAATAGGAAAAAGATGATATACTGTATTTTTTGGACTGTAAGACGCAATGGAGTATAAGACGCACCAAGATTTCGAAGAGGAAAATAAGGAAAAAAAATGTTTTTGGACTCCACGTGTCCGGTTTTTGCCCTCCCCAGGCCCCAGGACCAGTCTGGAGGCCTCCCAAACCCTCTGTGTCCTCCCTTTTTGTGAAAAATGAGCCAGTTTTTGCCAAAAATGGGATGAGCAGGGCGAGGTTTCGGGAGGACAAAAATGGCTGTATAAAACGCACCAACATTTCCATCCTCTTTTAGAGGGGAAAAAAGTGCATCTTATGCTCCAAAAAGTATGGTATGTAGATATTATAAACACAGGTACAAATCTGTCCCGGTTTGAACATCTCAAGATAAGCATCCAAATATAGATAGTCCTCAATTTACGACCACAATTGAGCCCTACATTTCTTTTTGCTAAGTGAGACCTTTGTTAAGCCAGTCTGCCCCATTTTACAATCTTTCTTGCCACAGTTGTTAAATGAATCGCCGCACTTGTTAAGGTAGTAACACGGTTGTGAAGTGAATCTGGCTTCCCCATTGACTTAGCTTGTCGGAAGGTCGCAAAAGGGAATCACGTGACCCCGGGACACTGCAACCGTCATAACTATGAGTCAGTTTGCCAAGCAATCCAAATTTTGATCATGTGACCATGGGGATGCCGCAACGGTTGTTAAGCGTGAAATACGATCATAAATCACTTTTTCTACTGCCGTTGTAACTTCGTCACTGAACGAACTGTTGTAAGTTGAGAACTACCTGTAGTTGCTGACTAAACCCACCATGGACGTTAAGTGAATCCATTGTTCACTATGGATTGTTTTTTGTTTTGTTTTTTGCCAGAAACTAGAATTGAACATTGGTTTCTCGCAAACATGTTGTAAATTGCAGTCATGTGATTATGGGATGCTGCAAACAATATATGAGGGTCAGTTGCCAAGCACTCAAAGTATGGTCATGTGACTGTGGCTGTCAGCAGTTCAAATCCAGGTAGTAAGCAGTTTTTTTAGGATCTGCTGTAACATTGAACGGTCGCTAAGTGAGCTGTCATAAATCAAGGACTACCTATATTTAGCACCACCCTCTTTCATTTTTTCCCTTCAACCTAAGAGGGAGGGACTGGTTCAGAATCTCCCTCAAATTCCTATGGCTGAAGAGGGGCTAGAACCTGAGTCTCCGCCCCGCCCCCGTTGCCCAGCCCCTTCCCCACTAGACCTGATTGGTTCCTGAGCAGAGAGGGAGGGACTGATCTAAAATCAGCCAATGAACTGCTGTGGCTGAGTGGGACACCAAGTCTCCTCCCTCCTAGTGCTGCCCCTTCCCCATTAGACCTGATTGGCTCCTGAGCAGACAGGGGAGGGACTGATCTAAAATCAGCCAATGAACTGCTGTGGCTGAGTGAGGCGTAGAACTCCAGTCTCCTCCCTCCTAGTGCCGCTCCTCCCCCAATAGATCTGATTGGCTGTTGGGTTGAAAGGGAGGGACAGGCCTACATTCAGCCAATGAGCTTCCACGGGGCTCAGAACCCAAGTCTCCCCACTCTTAATCCAGACCTTCTCCAATCAGAAACTTGGAAATAATGTTAATTTATCATGAGAGCCAGTTTGGTGTAATTAGGATGCAAGTTGTTGGACTAGAAACCAGAGGATCTGAGTTCCAGTCCTCCCTTAGGCATAGAGGTTGGCTGGGGGACTTCAGGCCAATTTCTCTCTCTTAGCCCAACCCATTTCACAGGATTGTGATTGTGGGGAAGAACAGAATATCAGAGAACTCTGCTACACTTGAATGGCTCTTGGGCTGAGAGGGAGGGACTGGTCCAAAGTCAGCCAATGAGCTTTTGCAGCTGAGAGGAAGACCTAGATCAGTGATGGCTAACCTTTTTGCTATTGCGTGTCAAAAGCGGGCGTAGGGGGGGGGTTGCATGCGCGTGTGCCCACAGCCATAATTCAATGCGCCCCGTCCCCCCACGCATGCACGTATGACCTCCCCCCACTTTTGGCATGTGATGGCACGGTGGGCCCGGTAGGTCCATTTTTTGCCCTCCCCAGGCTCCAGAGCCTTTCTAGGAGCCTGGGGAAGGCGAAAACAGCCTTCCCCCCCACCCCCTCTGGAGGCTTGGAAACATCCCATTTCCCAACTTCCAGTGGGCCCGGAAGGCCCGAAAATCAGCTGGCCAACATGCACATGCGTGCTGGACTGTGGTAGGGCAACGCTTGCGTGCCATAGGTTCGCCATCACGGATCTAGATCCTGCGTCTCCCCTCTCCTAGTCCAGCCTCTTCCCTGTTATATATGATTGGCTCTCGGGCTGAAACGGAGAGACTGGTCAGCCAATGAGCATCCATGGCTGAGTGGGGAGTAGAACCTGGGTCTCTAAAGCATATGATTGGCTCTTGTGCTGAGAGGGAGGGACAATATACAGATGCTGCCTGGAGGTGATGAAAATGAATGAATGAATGAACAGGAAGGAAGGAAGGGAGAGAAGGAAGGAAGGAAGGAAAGAAGGAAAGGAAGGAGGGAAGGAAGGAAGGAAGGAAGGAAGGAAGGAAGGAAAGAAGGGAAGGAGGGAAGGAAGGAAGGAAGGAAAGGAAGGAAGGAAGGAAGGAAAGAAGGAAAGGAAGGAAGGAAGGAAAGGAAGGAAGGAAGGAAAGGAAGGAAGGAAGGAAAGAAGGTAAGGAAGGAAGGAAGGAAGGAAGGAAAGGAAGGAAGGAAGGAAGGAAAGAAGGAAAGGAAGGAAGGAAGGAAGGAAGGAAGGAAAGAAGGGAAGGAAGGAAGGAAGGAAGGAAAGGAAGGAAGGAAGGAAGGAAGGAAAGGAAGGAAGGAAGGAAGGAAAGAAGGAAAGGAAGGAAAGAAGGAAGGAAGGAAAGAAGGAAAGGAAGGAAGGAAGGAAGGAAGGAAAGAAGGTAAGGAAGGAAGGAAGGAAGGAAGGAAAGGAAGGAAGGAAGGAAAGAAAGAAGGGAAGGAAGGAAGGAAGGAAGGAAAGGAAGGAAGGAAGGAAGGAAGGAAGGAAGGAAGGAAGGAAGGAAATTTTAATAGTTTTAGGGCAGGATATTTTTTCACCCTCTCCCTTCCGGCTCTGTTTGGTTGCAATTCCCAAAATCGCTAGTCAGCATGGCTGCAGATTCTTGCTGTGTTGCTCTCAATACATCAGAATGGCCCCTACCTAGAGAAGGCCCCCTCCCAGCCAGTCATTTAAAAAATGATCTATATCCTACCTACCCCAAACAGACCCACCCCGTGCCACCGGATCCCCCAGCCTTCCATTCCCATCCATACCTGGAGTGCCTTTGGTCTGTTTCGCAGCAGCGTCGGCAGACGATCAGGACGCCAAAGAGCAGCACCAGGGTGCCCCCGATAAAGATCGAAAGAAGCACAAGAAGTAGCACATAACCGTCCTGGGGGCTCACTTCGCCAGGCACCGTCTGGAAGATATGGGAGGGAAGGGAAGGGGACAAGAAAAAGAGAAGCAGAAATAAATCCATTATTGTTGTTTTTTAAACTTCTCTTTGCAAAACTCATACTGTTTGTCCAAAAGCGGATTGTATTTCGAAGTGACTGGAAGGCTTGTAAAAGTTTTGTAAGGTTCTGCAACAGGGGTGGGTTCTAAATTTTTTTACTACCGGTTCTGTGGGCGTGGCTTATTTTGTGGGTGTGGCTTGATGGTCATGTGACAATTCTTTAGGATTTAGCAGAGGTACTGGTCTACCAGGCTTTTAACTGCTTGCAGAGCTGTACCGATCTACCCATTTATTTTTTGCAGGCACTGATCTACTCATGTATTTTTGCAGGCACTGATCTACTCATGTATTTTTGCAGGCACTGGTCTACTCATTTGTTTGCTTTTAACACTGATCAGCTGTAGGACGGCCCTTTGAAGCCCCGCGGCAAGAGTTTAAACAGTTTTTTTCCCTCTAGCCATCAGCTGGGACTCAGGAGGCAGCAATAGATTGGGGGTGGGGCCAAATAAAAGGTAAGAATAACACGGGGGAGCACGGGGGGTGCAGAACCAGTTCGGTGACATCATATCGTCACCGCTACTGGCTCGGGAGAACCGGGCCGAACCGGGAGGAACCCACCACTGTTCTGCAACATACAGACATCCCCAACGTACGACCACAATTGAGCCCAACATTTCTGTTGCTAAGGTTAAGTGAATTTTGCTCCATTTTGCAGCCTTTCTTGCCACAATTGTTAAGTGAGTCACTGCGGTTCTTAAGTTAGTAACACGATTGTTAAGTGAATTGCTTGAAGGTTTGTGGACTTCAACTCCCAGAATTCCTCAGCCAGGATGGGAAGTCCACATATCTTAAAACATCCTGGCTGGGGAATTCTGGGAATTGAAATCCACACAGCTTCAAACTGTCAAGTTTGAGAAATACTGCTCTACAGATAGTCCTTGACTTCCGACCACAACTGAGCGCAGAATTTACATTGCTAAGCGAGACATTTTTAAAGTGAGTTTGGTGACTTCTCTTGCCTCGTTTGTTACGTGAATCACTGACGTTATTAAATTAGTAACACGGTTGTTAAGTGAATCTGGCTTCCCCATTGACTTTGCTTGTCAGAAGGTTGCAAAAGGCGATCACGTGACCCCCCCAGGATACTGCAACCGTCATAAATATGAATCAGTTGCCAAGTGGTGTTGTTCTAAAGTAAAGTGTATAAATAACACTCTCTGCAACATAATGCAATCTTTGGGAGCTGGACTTCAGCTCCCATCATTCCTCAGCTTAAATGGAGGTCTCAGAGTCGCATGGAAATTTGGGGAAACTGCACATAGGTGCTGAGGACTAAGGTTTTTGCCCTCCCCAGGCCCCAGGAGCACTCTGCAGGCCTCCCAAACCCTGTTTTTGTGAAACTAAGGACTAAGATGCTTTAAAGTTTGTGGGTGGGGCCAATTAGTAAAAAAAATATGTGGGGGAGCATCAGAAAGAAAAGGTAATCGCATCAATGAACGCTAGAAAGGTGGATTACAGCTAGTCCTCGATTTACGACAATTGTGCCCAAAATTTTCATGGCTAAGCAAGGCAGTTGTTAAGTGAGCTTTGTCCCATTTTACGACTTATTTGCCACTAAGCAAAAAGCTGCCGTTGTCAAGTGGAACATGCGGCTGTTAAGCGAATCTGGCTTGCCTCATTGACTTCGCTTAAGCCAGCTGGGAAGGTTATTACAAAGGGTGATCAGGTGACCCTGCAAATGTTAATTTATTTATTACTGTATGTCAGTTGCCAAGTGCCCAAATTTTGAGCATGTGTCTATGAGGGATACTGCAACAGTCGCAAATGTGAAAACTAGTCACAAGTCACTTTTTTCAGTTCCGCTATAACTTTGAATGGTCACTAAACGAATGGTTGTAAATCAAGGGCTATTTGTGTAACTCTTTTCCCCCAAACAGTTGGTTTGCAACAGTCTAGGATAGCATTTTTTCAACTTTGGCAACTTTAAGATGTTTGGACTTCAACTCCCACAATTGGGAGTTGAAGTCCAAACATTGCTAAAATTGAAAAAAAACACTATTTTAGGTCATATGATGTTTAAAACAGAGTCGCCCTTTGTTCAGTCTCCATCCGAACAAGCATTGTTTCCAAGCATGAAACATTTTCCCTCTTTAATTTTGGGCTCTTCCGCCAAAATCCAAAGAGAAGGAGCCTTTTCTAATCCAGAAATGTTGGAAAGGGAAATATTTTGACCTCACCTTTCCCAGGTCCCAATGCCCAACTTGTGATCCTGCTAGCCAGGTTTCCAAAATCCCCAGCAGAAGCCAAGTCAAATACTCAGCTATCAAAGGCTAAGATAAAATATTCCCCCATGGGAGCATCATCTGTTTAAGCTTGGCAATCAACTAGTCCTCAGCAGGTGCAGGAATATTGAACTACGTAAGACACTAAACCTGGCCTCTCCAATTCACACTTGTGTCTCTTCTGAAACGACTTCCCAGAGAAAAAAGACAGACTAGTTCCACCTTTAGCAGAAACGCAAATGCCTGCAGCACAGTGGTGAAATCCATTTTTTTTACTACCGGTTCTGTGGGCGTGGCTTGGTGGGCATGGCCAGGTAAGGATATTGCAAAATCTCCATTCCCACCTCCCTCCTGGGGAAAGGATATTGCAAAATCTCCATTCCTTCCCCACTCTGGGGCCAGCCAAAGGTGGCATTTGCCGATTCTCCAAACTACTCAAAATTTCCGCTACCGGTTCTCCAGAACCTGTCAGAACCGCTGAATTTCACCCCTGCTGCAGCATCTTAAATGCTCACATAACTTTCAGGTTTTACCAGATCAAGACCTAAGTCTGGCAAAAACGTAAGCAATACAGGTAATCCTCGATTTACGACAGTTCATTTAGTGACCAAACTTTTACAACAGCACTGAAAACAAACAGGTGACTTATGACCATTTTTCACACTTCGTGATTCCCCAGGGTCACGGAATCAAAATTCCGATGTAACTGACTCGCATGTATGACGTCTGGTCTGGAATCATGCGAGTTCCCCCCTTTTGGGACCGTCTGACAAGCAAAGTCAATGGGGGAAACCAAGATTCACACTTCACAACCGTATTGAAGAACAAGTGTTGATTCACTTAAAACGTGGCGAGAACGTTCGTAAAAATGGGGGCGAACTCACTTAACAAACTTTGGCCTCAATTGCGGTCGTAAGTGGAGGACTACCTGTAATCACTCGTCGAAGTCCTTCCATGTATCACAAGGGACAAAGAGGCACGGTTCTCTTCCTCCCCATTGGATAAACTGAGCGTGGCAGTTGCCAAGAGATAAGGGAGTTTTTCGGTGTTGGGAAAGGCTAGCCCACTCTGTGGGAGAGGAGACAGCTGACGGCTGAGTCCGTAGGCAGCTGCCTTGTTGGGCTCTCTGGCCTGGCCACTTGTCAGCTGCCATGTTGGCTCAGCAATTCAGAATCTCAAGACATTCTGGCGCTTCTTTTATTCTGCCCAGAGCAGGGTCTGTCTCCAGACCCCTCTAACCACGATCCTTTTGAAAAAAAGGGAGATTTGTCAGAAGTGGGGCCAGGATTTTCAGTGTGCAAAGCAAGTGTCCGACTATTTAGGTTTCCCACACTGAGCGTCTCATCTCCAGCAAACTTCTGCTGTGCAATTTGGGCCTTTGTGTACGTGGGTGGGAAAGGGGGGAGGGGTATGTGCAGAGGTGGCATTCAGCCGGTTTGGACTGGTTCGCCCGAACCGGTAGCGGAAATCGTGGGTGCCCCCCACCTCCCGTCTCGGCTCTATGCCGTCTTATTTAGACACATTTTTGAGGCCAGGCGCACGGGCGGAAGGCGTGCACGCAAGCAAAGCGCGTGCACGGAAGGTTGTGCGCATGTGAGGAAGTGGCACGCTCACATTTGTAAACCGGTAGGGGAAAGTCAGTGAATACCAATCCTGGGTAACCCTGGGTAACAGCTGAACAAGTTTCTTCAGCCTTGCCCTCGGACAGCTGATCCTAAACCCTGTATCCCCCTTCCTTGCCCCCAAATCTGCTGAACCCAGAAGCATGACTTAAGACAGCTATTGGGGTCCTTGGTGGTCTCCCACACACCTGGCTCTTTTCTTGTAGACATTTCATGACCCAACTAGGTAACGTCATGAGTGCTAGAAGGGAGTGGAGGAGGGCTGTGGGGTCCCTGGTGCTCTCTGAGCTTCGTTGTTTTCTTGCAGGTATTTCATGACCCAACTATGTAACATCATCAGTACTAGGAGGATATAGCTCCATGCTCAGAGAGCAACAAGGAGCCCACAGTTCAGCCCTGAGCTACAAATATTCTCAAGCTATTAGTACTTAAGCCAACTCTGGGACCACAGAGCTGTCCGCCCCCCCGCCCCCCCGATGTCTTTTATATTTAGGCAATGAAATCTCCAATCTGCCCTGCCCAATCACAGATATCATAATCCTCCAGTGCCCCCCTGAACCCCCAAATGTTATACAAGGCCAGGCCGCCTCGCGCCTTCCAGAAGTTTTCAACTCCCATCAACCTCCTCCAGGATGGCCAAGAACAAAAGTCAAATTGGAGAAGAGCGGCAGCGAGGGGAAAAAAAAAACTGCTCGGTGCATGCTCAGAGGAGCTGCGATATTGTTTTAATGAAAGCATTTCCCTGCAATATCTGTCACAATGGGGAGGATGAGGAGACAAACACGTGTCTAGTGGAAGACTTCCAACATACATGAGCATGCATGCAGACAAACACATTTTGCCAAACTTGCTAGTAACGGGCTTCTCATCTCCTGAGTCGGCCTCCAAACAGAAGCAATAGGGGAGGGGGGGCAACATTGGAAGAGCAGGAGAGAGCATGCACCCCCTCCCAAAAAGGACCCCATTCTCCACCCAGGCCTGGCCTCTGCATACTCACCGTCACGCCTTCAGTTGTCGTATTTGCCCATGAAGTAAACGCATCGCTCATTGTTTGTGGCCAGAGTAGCTGGGCATATAAATCAAAACTAGTAGTTGGGTTTTTTTAAAAAACAGACTCAGGAAAATGAAGAAGAGTGAAAAGCAGATGTATATACATCAATCCAAGCAGGCTGAAGAGAAGAAGGAGGAACAACAACAACGGGACTGCAGTCTTTTTCTCCTCTTTTCTTTTTTTTTCGCTCCCTCTCTCCCGCAGCTCTTATCCCTGCTTCTCGTTTCGTTCTTTCTTGCAGCTCACATGTTTGAGGGGGAAGAGAGTCACCATGGCTTGCTCACAGCATCTTCGCGTCCCTCGTCTTCCGGTGATGCCCGAGGAGATGGACCAAGCGTCTCGTCTCTCCTCTCCTCTCTTTTTCTCCGTGGCTGGATTTCTTTCCTGGCAGCACCAGATTCGGCTGGGAAAGGAGAGAGAAAGGGCTGTCGGTGGTGATGGGAGAAGGAAGGAGAAGGTTTCGTTCTGGTTGGTTGGTTTTAAGAGGAAGATGGAGAACGGGGAGATAAGAAGAAGGAGGAGGCGAGAAGGGAAAGATCGGGGACCAAAACAGGTAGAGGTGAGGAGAGCATCTGTTTTCTCTGAGGTTTGGGGTTTTTTTTTTCCTCCCTTGCACTTTCTGATTCTGCTTTTCCCCCTCCCTGCTTTGCAACAGCTACCTAGGAGCTGAAGGCATCCAAGCAGGCGTGAAGAGCCACAGAAACCCTTCCCTTGCCTCTCCCTTCGGCCTTCTTTCGGATATACAGCCCGGCTGAGGAACCCGCTGAAACTCAGCCGCTGCCACCCACTCGGCCAGCCGCCCCGCAGAATGGAAATGAACTCATCCTCCACTCCTCATCATCGCTTTTAAAAATGCAACCCAAAACGCCACCAGCTCAGCGGCCTTCCAAAGCCCACACGTGTGAGGGGTGACTCACAGGAACCCACCAGCCGAGAGAGAATGAGCAAGAGGAGGACGGGGTGGCAGTGGCTGGAGCCACCCGCAGAGATGCCGTAGAGAGGGACACACTGGGCTCAGCCAAGCTGCAGTGACAAGGATGGACCGGCCAGGCCTGGGCTGCTACCCCCATCCCCCCCACCCCCGGGAGAAGGGAGAAAATGAAATTTTAAAAAATTAAACCAGTGCAAGGCACTGCTTGAAACAGGTGGTGGATTCTAAGCTTCCCTTCCTTTTCTCCTCTGGCTTCCAGTGTATTCACTCTATGGTGGATGGCTGGAGCATCTCCTCCAGGAGTGGAGCCCTGCTCCCCTCTTCTCTGCCGGCTAGGCATTATGGGAAATGCAGTCCAACACATCTGGAGTTGAGGAAGGGTGCTAGCATTGGTTTATCAACATCTGAAAAGAGGCTTAAACACAAAAGGCTGCAGAGGGATTATAATTTATCCGGTCCATTTGCAACAGCAATAGGCAAATATGTTTTAAAAATTTCCCCCCCCCCCCTGCAAGATTTCCCTGGGTTTGCTTCCGAGAAAATGCTTCCAAGCTTCCTTTGGTAAGGAAGCTAGGGGCAGCCCTTTCATCTTTTTAGCCGCCTAGGCTACGAAGGGTTATATAGTCCGTAGTGAATACGATACCTTTGTATTTTGGTTTAAGAAAAGTTTATTTGGGTAAAAATTCAGCCACCAGGTCAGCTCCTGCAAATCTATCTTAGGAAGGGACACACACCACCATTGCTTGACTGTAGTGCTGGTTTAGATTGGCAAATTTAATTATTTTCCTTTTTAAGAAGGGTTTTTACCTTCACTAGTGATGCATCCGTGTGGAGAATGTTATAGGTTGTCAGCCCCATAGTACCATCCCTACAAATTAAATAGAAACTAAACCACTGAATTGCACGATTAAGCTTAGATAGCCAAGGGGAGAGTTATTTAAATCCCCATCCTTCGCCTGAATGGTTACATAGTCTTTCTCTGGGGGAATAACCAAAGCAGCCTGCAAAATATTCATGGTTCAAATGCAGAAGACCTGACGGCTGGGGCTGGACTGGATGATCTCAAGAGGCCCCCTCCCCATTCAGGGATTCTACGCAAGGCCATTGCACAGGAGTAAGCTTTATTTTATTTATTTAAATTTTATCCGCTTGGGACACACCCTCTGCCAATTCCAAACACGTGGGACTTTTCTTGCCATGGGAATCGGAGCATTTTTTGAAAGGGATTTTTCAAAGGCCCAGAATGGTAGGGATCCTTTCCTCGCCAGCCCAGCCTCTTCCACAGAGGTAAGGTGAAGAGCAAAAGACCTCCTTCCCCTGATGATGGAAGAATTTCACATCTCCATGGTGATGTCCAAGGGAGAAGCAGGAGACTGGTCTTTCACCCACTGGGGAGAAACCGGATTCTTAACACCTCTGTTCCCACGGGAGCAATTCGGTCTCTGTCCGGGGAAGGTAAAAAATGGCAACAGAGGCATGGCCAGCCATGGCCATGTGAACGCAAGTAGTTAAAGGGACAGCTAGGTTTCCTGGAGGCAAGAATTGTGGGGAGGAGAGAAGATGGTCCTTTAAATCAGGGGTCTCCAACCTTGGCAACTTTAAGCCTGGAGGACTTCAACTCCCAGAATTCTTGGCTTAAAGTTGCCAAGGTTGGAGACCCCTGATTTAAAGCAGAATCTGCTCAGGAGAAGCAGGGAGACCGTTTCTAAACAGAACACCCCCTTTAAAAAAAAATAAGATTTTTTTTCAAATGACTCAATGCAGCCTCTACTGGAGAAAGTTCATTATACAGCATCATCATCATCATACAAGCCTTGTCACATCTTATTCCATCATCGCCAAATATCTTTAGAAAAAGTCTACATGAATATAGTTTGCAAGTCCCCCTTATATTGCTCATTTCCCAGGACTCTGGTGCTGGCAGGTAGACTGCCCTTACTCATAGAGGCTCGAAGAGAAGAGAATTGGCTAAAGCATGCCTAATCATGCTTGGTGAAAATTTCAATTTCTAGTTTGGGGGGTGGGGGAAGCCGAGGCTGCCCAGGAAGACCAGCAGAATAAAAAAAATAATTAAAAAAAAGAGAGAGAGAGATTTAACATGATAAATAGAGAATGAAGAGGGAAGGATGGATGGATATAAAGGAAGGAAGGATGGATGAGTTGTTTTTGTTGTTGTTTTTTTTAATTTGATTTATATGCCGCCCTTCTCTGGAGACTCAGGGCGGCTTACAATGCGTTAAGCAATAGCCTTCATACTTTTGTATATTTATACAAAGTCAGTTTATTGCCCCCCATAATCTGGGTCCTCATTTTACCCACCTTAGAAAGGATGGAAGGCTGAGTCAACCTTGAGCCTGGTGAGATTTGAACTTGCAGTAATTGCAGGCAGCAGATATAAATGGATGTTAATAACAGTGCTTTAGTCTGCTGAGCCACCAGAGCTCTTTTAAGAGTTCTGGGGCTGCAAAAAAAGGGGTTACTAATCTGTGACCCCCCCCCCCTTCCAGCCTCCATTCCTGCTCACTTCACCCTGGATGCATAAAAAGAGCAAGTCAAAATGTGTGTGTATGATTTCTTTTTACCAGCAACAAAAGGGGAATTTGCTAAGCAGGATCTTTTTTTGCAGCTATTAAATGCTCGGTTACAGCAATTACAAGATCTCAGGGGGAATGGAGGAATCTGGGGAGGGGGAGGATGGGAAATCTCCCCAGCTGGGCTTTGGCCGAATTGGCGATCCTGTGGGCTGGAGGTGAGCAAACCCCAATATTTCCAATAAGGGAAACCTTAAACCCTTTTTTCTCTCTCCCTACCTATAGGCTACCCGGTGTCCCATCGTGCCAGGCTGACTCCCGAGTAAACACGCCTCAAGATCGCCCAGCCCCAGGACAGCTGCCGCCCGCAACAGCTGCAATTTCGACCCCAGATTGCCCGTGTGTCCCACCTCCCCACAATCCCATCCCTGCCCGAGGGAGGGACGGAGGGAGGGAGGGAATATAGAAACCCGATCGTGGCTGGTGTGTGTTGTAAGACTCGGAGCCCGATCGGTGCATTAACTTCATTTCCTACCTACACCGAAGCGTCCATTCACTTTTTTTAAAAAAAAATAAATAAATCCCTAACCCAGCCCAGAAAAAGACCAATCCCCTCCAAGCCCAAGCCTGATCCAAAAAGTCCTCAAGCCGTTCGCTAAAGCTTTCCCGGACCGATCGATGTTTTTAAACGTTTTGGCTATGGGGAAGGGAATCCGCTGTTAGGGATCCCAGTCTCAGCAAACCCCCCTCCCCTCCCCTCCACCCCAACCCCTCCTTCGCCTTTCCACCCCCGCCACCACTGGCATCGCCTGGAACAGGTTAACCTCGCCGATTGGATTATTCGTATTATTTATTCATCGGTTTCATCGCCTCCTCCTCCTCGGAAGAGGGACCCCCCCCCGAGATGCAATTTTAACACACAGTGGACTCTCTTCCCCCCCGCCTAACTGGATCCCGTGGAGGGATCGAAGGAGATCGCAAGGTAGAGAAGTTGGATAGGTTTATAAAATAAGAGGGGATCGTACACCCCTCCGCCCCACGATGATCCCATCCGACAGGAGGAGAAGGGGAGAAAAGCAAGCGGAGGGAGCCAGAGAGAAGGAAATCTCCTTTCGCCCCCTCCATTTCCAAATTATATACACATATACCGCCTCCCCCCGCCCCAGTTCCAGCCACACCATTTCACAGAAGCGCCAGATCTCTCTCTCTCTCTCTTTCTCCACCTACCCCCCCTCCACGAAACAAACAAGCAAAGGAAATACAAGAAAAGCAGCTTAAAAGAAGAAAAAAAAAATCCAAGCAACGAGGAGGAAACCCCCCCATCCCCATATTCCCTCTCTCACCCACCCCGACTCCCCGATTCCATTGGGGTGGATTTCTTAATGGCAAGAAATCCTGGGTTGTTTTTTTTTTCCCCTCCCTATTTTTGTTTTTTTTTTTAAAGGAAGGAAAATGACAGATCTCTCCCCCCCACCCTTCCCCAAAAAGGAGAGCAGAGAAAAGCAGCAAAATAGAAAGAAGGGAGAATGATCGGGTTTGCAAGAATCGGGTTTGGACATCCAAATCAAACCCCCCACCCCAACTTTAATAATAATTTTATTTCCAATTTCCAATTTATAAAATAAAATTATAATATAATAAAAAGACAAGATACAGGAAAGGGAAGAGGGGGAAAAAAATAATAATGACTCACCGAATTCGTGGATCCCTGCGCGATCCAAAAGCGAAGCGGCGGAGGTTGCAATTTATTTTATTTTTTTTTAATGTCTTGGGGAAGGAAGTCCCCCTTTCCGTCTCTCTTGAACACCTTAATTTTGATTTAAGAGGGGCCGAGGATTTATGAATGAACAGGGACCCACCCACTTTAGAACGCGGAGGGGGGGCCACGTGACCACACTTTCATACAACAGCTAGAGGCGGGTGGGGGGGGAGGAAGGGGAGGGAGGGAGAGAGAGAGGGAGCGGCGCGGGGGCGGCGGTGCCATTCAAAGACGATGAGCCGTTTCTGATTGGACCAAGCCCGGACGGAAATTTAAATAAAGGGGAGGGGCGGGGTGGTAGGGGGGGGTTTATGTAAAAGGCAATTTTTGAAAATGGCCAAGTGTTGTTGTGATCTGTTGCATCGCCCGATTTCCAGGAAGGGCTGCCAGGCAGGGAAGATCCCGATCCGTGTTACCCGCTTTCCTAGGCAAACAGGGCGAACTGGATCCCCCATTTAGCCAAACAGCCACCATGATGCATTTCGGAGCACTCGTCAGCAGCCTCGGTTCTTTCTGCACGTTCCTCTAGAGCAGTGTTTCTCAACCTTGGAAGCTTGAAGATGGGTGGACTTCAACTCCCAGAATCCCCCAGCCAGCAGCGCTGGCTGGGGGAATTCTGGGAGTTGAAGTCCACCCATCTTCAAGCTACCAAGGTTGAGAAACACTGCTCTAGAGCAACGTGCAGAAAGAACCGAGGCTGCTGACGAGTGCTCCGAAATGCATCATGGTGGCTGTTTTTTTTTTTTTTTTAGGAGCCTCGATTTGCAAAGATGGGCTCGGCCGCCTGATGGCAGGAGAAGAGTTTCAGTCTCTCTTGGGTGCCATCAATTGGCCGGTGGCTGTTTTGCAGTACCGCCAGCAAGTTTGCTCCTAACTAAACTGACAATTGAGGATGAGTAAACGCAGATTACCCTTTGATTAGAAAAGTTTACACTCAAGAGGATCAGAAGGGACCTTGGAGATCTTCTAGTCCAACCCCCTTGCCTGAGGCCGGAGTCCTCAAATCTTGGACAAATTTGTCTGAAATGGTATGTAGGGTTTCCTGCCTAAGCAGGGGATTGGACTAAAATAGGGGTCACCAACTGATGGTCCGTGGACCATTGGTGGTCCGTGAGACAATTTTGGTGGTCTGCAGAAAAAATTATTTGCATTTTTTATATTGCACTAAATCAGGGGTCCTCAAACTACGGCCCCTGGAACTGATACGTGCAATGAACGTTTGTGTTGCTGCAGAGAGTCTCCCCCTTCGGGGTCTTTTTGTGTGGGTCAGAGAGGGCAGAAATTCCGACTTGGGGTTTGCTTCAGCCTCCTGGTGTGGGGCTTTGGGCGAAGGCTGGAGGGAAGCGCAGCTGGTGGCAAAGAGCCGGAGAGCCTCGTTCCAGTGGGATTGCCTCATGGCCTGGAACTGGCTGACCATCTCAGCCCACTGAGCCTCCAGGCACTGGTACCTGGCCTTGCACTCCCGCAGGTCTTCCCTCTGCTTGGAAAACCTATGCCCCTAGTCCTCAGTGAGGTGCTTCTGCTGAGCCTCCTTCTCGGTCAGATCCAATTTGAACTGGGCTGTTTTGCCAACTCTTTCTCATGGTGGCTGCTTAGCTCCTACAACTGCTTCCTGTTGGGGGGCCCTAAGGAGCCCAGGCTGGGAGGCGAGGAGTGGCTGGGAGGGGAGGGGCGAGTAGAGGCCGGCGAGGCACAATATGAGTGACATTGAGTTGGTCACACCCACCCAGTCACATGACCACTCTTGATACGCAAATGAACAGTTCTGTTATTGCAGGTGTGACTTTCCCAGAGAAAACACGTGAAAATGGTTGCTACTCCTTCCTTCACAAATTATGTTCCTTTAAAAAAAAAAAAAACTTCCAAGCTTTATATTATACATTTCTGTATTTCCTGGTGGTCTCCCATCCTAATGCTAACTCCATTCGATTCATTTTTGCTGCAAGATCAGTCAAGATTGGCTTTGAGCCAGGCTGCTAGAGAAGCTTTGGCCATTAAACCAGACAAAACGGGGATATCAAACAAATTATTCTATTAAAACAGATATTCCCAGAAAGAATATCCAGTGATCTTTCGAACAAGGTTAAATGTGGCAACAACTATCAGCGTAGTTCATTTGTAGTCTTCTACAAGGCTACCATTTAGGGACCAACCAAGTTACTAGTCCCTGGCATCTGTTACGGATCAGGACTTTGGAAAATGAAGGTTATATCAAACTATTGAAGCTAAAGAGCCAGTCAATCTCTCTCTGTCTACTCCGCCTCACAGGTGGTTGTTGTGGAGAAAATAGGAGGAGGAAGAGGTGTTGGGTATGTTGGCCGCCTTGAGTTTATTTGCAAAAATAACAAAAGTAGGATACAAATGAATAATAAATAAAAGCTATTGTGAGCTGATTAGAATTCTCTCTTGAATGCCATAACAACAGTCCTGGAAGGTAGGCCAGTATCATTCTTGCATATGTTATTGTTGACTAAAAAAGGAGATGGGTTTTGATTTCTTTTTTCTTGTTGCAGGATCTGCGGAAGCTTAAATTTTACCCATCCGTACCTCCTCCTCGTTTTATTTTTCTTTGCAGAAAGACCCGAATAATCCCATTGGCCTGGAATAAAAGGAGACACATTCCCTCCACCTGAGAGAGGGAATCTGCAAGGGCTTAGAAACCCTCCGGTTAATTTGTCAGAATTTCCATTTGCTGCCTCCACTGGCACCATTTGAATACCGGGGGAGGGAGGGAGGCAGAATGGAAAATACGCCGGTGTTTTCAATGGGCAAAAATAGAAAGAGGCAGCGGTCCCAAAGGAAAAATCGTGGAACGGATTCTCTCAAGCAAAACACACATCACTGGAAAGGGTGATTCCGTGCTTAGAATAGCTCCTACGGCAGGTTTTCTCAATCTTGGCGGCTTGAAGATGGGTGGACTTCAACTCCCAGAATTCCCCAGCCAGCGTTGCTGGCTGGGGAATTCTGGGAGTTGAAGTCCACCCATCTTCAAGTTGGGAAACCCTGAAGCCTAGCAGAAAAAGCAACAATTTTAGACTTTGGGAGCAACCAAAACTGGGAGACAAAAGCAATGTAAAAGGCCACGAGTTCAGCTTTGATCCAGAGAATTTAAAAATCCCTCTCGAAAATTGTGTCTTTTGCGCTTGGCAATGGTTGGGGCCACGTCGCTTCACGAAAAGTTGGAAAACAATCTGCCGAAGGTGAACCTGGCTAGCTGCAAACCACAAACCGTCTTCAAGCGAGGCACAAGCCACCCCCTTCCCCTTTATTTATTTCTTTTATTGCATTTCTATACCGCCCTTCTCCTGAAGGACTCAGGGTGGTGTACAACCATATTAAAACAAACCCATCACAAAAATTAAAAAACGGTTAAAATAAACTTTGCCTGGTGCGGGAATAATTCACATCTCATTTCTTGCACCCAGCGCACAAGAGGGCTGAATTAAGTTTCTCGTTCATCCGGATTCCAATGTTGGTCACCGCATTACAAAAAAAAAAAAAAAAAAAGATGTTGAGACTTTGGGGAAAAAGTTCAGAGAAGAGCAACTAAGCTGATCAAAGGCCTGGAAACTAAACCATATGAAAAACGGCTGCAGGATTTCTGTTTGGTCTGTCTAGAGAAAAGGACTGGGGGGGTGGGGGGGGGAGGATATGGTAGCAGTGTTCCAGTATTTGAGGGGCTGCCACAAAGAAGAGGGGGTCAAATTATTCTCCAAAGCACCAGAGGGCAGGGCAAGAAGCAATAGATGGAAACTAACCAAAGAGAGAAGCAATCTGGAATTAAGGAGAAACTTCCTAACAGTGAGGACAATTAACCAGTGGAACAGCTTGCCTCCAGAAATCGTGGGCGCTCCATCACTGGAGATTTTTAAGAAGAGTCTACAGTCAGTCACTTGGTATAGGTTTTCCTGCTTCAGCAGGGGGCTGGACTAGAAGACCTCCAAGGTCTCTTCCAGCTCAGCTAAAGGATTCTCCTAACCATCTGGTTTTTCTGAACAGAAAACAGAGAAATGGTATCTCTTGCTAAACAGCGCCCTCTGCTGGGAAGGATAAGTATCTCACTGCCATTGTTGCATTTGGTACTCAATGGAGGAAGACACAGGGTAGTCCTCCACTTACAACCACAATCGAACCCAACATTTCTGTTCCAGAGACATTATAAGTGGAATTTTGCCCCATTTAATTATCTTTCTTGCCGCAGTTGTTAAGTGAATCACTGCAGTTCTTAAGTAAGCAACACCGTTGTTAAGTCACTCTGGCTTCCCCAATGACTTTGCTTGTCAGATAATCATGACCCTGGGATACTGCAGCCGTCATAAATAGGAACCAGTTGCCAAAGCATCTGAATTTTAAGGTTTGTTTGGAGCTTGAATTTTGATCACGTGATCATGGGGATGCAGCAATGGCTGCAAGTGTGAAAAACGGTCAGAAGTCACTTTTTTTCAGTGCTGTTAGCTCTGACGGTGCCCCCCTTCTATGGTCACACCCCGCACTTCCGGTGCTTAGAACTGGGACACATTTACGGCCATTTGCAGTATCCCACGTTTTATGACGTTTTTGCCAAAAACAAGACAATTTCAAAGTGATGATTTGCTGTGGGTGTGGTTTTGCCAAAACCCTGCAGTAAATGTGTTTCTGGCAAAACCACACCCACAGCAAACCATTGCTTCGCTTAATCACCAGCGATTTGCTGAACTGCCACAAAAACATTTAGAAAATTGAGTCAGTCACATGGGCGACTCAGTTCATGACCATGATGGACAAACCCATTAAGAGTCATAACTACATTACCTATATCTAGCCTTCGGTCTAATAAAAAAGGGAGAAAATGAGTTTACGTGCCAAGTGAATTCTCTCGGAGATGTAGCTGCAAGAGGTGGAGATCCAGTGGATTAATCCATTTCTGCTACTCACATGTGGCCTATCCTAACTGGAAGCCTTGCTCTTATGGAGATACGGAAAACAGGATTTTGCCCAGTAAGGTCACCACGGCTTGCAAAAAGTCCATGGACCCTCTTTCCCGGTCAATCCACAGCAATGACTTTCAAACTTGGCAGCTTTAATGAGACATGGTGACTGGGGAATTCTGGGAGTTGGAAGGCCGTATCTTAGTTGCCAAGCT